TAATAAACTAAATAAAGCAGTATATAAAAATGTAGCTCTAATAATTAGTTATCCAAAACAATAATCAGCAACTGTTCTGATAACTTTTCAAAAATCTCTGAAACATTTTGTGGTTTCAACTTTTTAAATGTGAAGGTTTGCTGCTTCTCCTTATCCTCAGTTGCAGTAATACGATGATTTTGAGGTTTGGACTGTTAATCAGACAAAAAAATACATTTGAAGATGTCCCTTTGAGCTCTGTTTAATTGTGACTATAATATAGAATACATTGATTTATCAAAAAACAACAAAAACAAATAAACATCAGATTAATCCATACTGAAAATAATTATAAGTTGCATCCCAATATAAAAGACTTAGCCTCACCTGTGTGAGTAATATTCTAATAATAATCTAATAAATATATAATAGTATCTATATATGTTAGATTAGATAGTTGCCATATCTTTATGTTAAGTACTTAAAATTTTGGATACTTTATGTACATTTTCTTGATAACACTTACATTTATTTAAAGGCACAGTGTGTAGGATATAGTGGCCTCTAGTGGCTAAGTTGCAGATTACAACCAACTGAATAATCAAGTGTGTAAATGACACTACAGTGACTGACACACTCGCAAGTTTGTTTGGTTTGTCTGTTCTAGGATACTTCTGAAAACATGCTGGTTCAACATGGTGGCAACAATTCTTGTTTTCAGGTGATAATACATGAACTGAATTGAATGAAAACATACCTATTAATATAATATTCCATTTCTGCTAATTGATCCTCCTAAATATTACACACTGGACCTTTATTAAAAGAATGTGAATACTTCCTACACAACTGTTATTTACCACTGTGGCAGTAGTGCACAGAAGTTGATTTCTCTTACTGTGAAGCTGAAAACATGCAGATTGTTCTCTGTATTCCTTTCAGCAATCCTAAGGGAGGTTAACACAACCAACCTCCCTCTAGCTACCCCAAATACACATATGTTGTCTTTATAAGATCATGCTCTGTAATAAATCAGAATTCTTCAAAGCAGCTAAGCATCATTTACTCACCATAAAGCAGTCTTCAATTTGCACCTCTTTGAACCCCAACTGAGTGGCTTTCAAAGCACTTTGTTAGCTTTTGCTGGAAGCAATGATGATTTTTCTTTTCTTCTTTTTCTTTTACATGCTGACTAGGCTGATGGGTTCTGCTTGGAAGTTTGTGGGATCCACTGTTTACCAGGAAATTTAAGTAATAACACAAGCTGGCAACAGTAACATCAATTATCATCCATACATTATGAGACAATAAGTGACGTTCTCAGAGCTGGGATATTTGTAGAAGAAGGGAATATGTATGTAAAATCATTTTGAGGAACCTGTTACTGTGATGAAATGTTCCAAACTTCACTTACTAACTTTATCTAGAGCTTTAGACCATATGTAATGACCTTGTTCAGTGAATAGAACTTGCTCAGTTGACATTAAGTGTGGAATATTGGTCCCATGATAAAAGGTGGTCTTAAATGGAGGTGGGGGTTGTAACCATTGTCTCTGTCCAAAGATGGTCTCTGGTGTGGGATGTGAAGGTTCTCCTTGACCTTTCTCGTCCACTGACTCCTGGTCAATGAAAACGGCGCCCTCCCAGTCGATGCTGGGACCGGTTTTGGATCAGAAACCGACTGTATTGAATTGTTTGTTTTGGTCTGTTCTGGAGAGCTCCCCGGATCTATGGCTGCTTCCTAAACTGTACCCCTTTCCTGTTTGTTTGTCAGTATTTGTGATGCAGGTTGCAGTCTTGACAAATAATGCTCATAATTAGTTATTTCTTTGCAAGCTCTTTGGGTGCATCAAAGAAGATTTAGGATATAGTATATAGATATGTGTTAGGTCACAACATATATGTTATTCTTCAAAACAGCATGACAATAGTATCACACCATACAGGATATGTATTTCCCTTAATGTGGTAACCCCCACTAAAGACACTAATGTAATGTCCTGTGTAATTTCTCTTGGGATTAGTTTTTTTCCCTCCAGCAATCTTGGTTGAATTATAATGCCGTATATATATATATATATTTTTTGCTATTTAAAAAGACAAACCTGTAGTGGGTATTTCGTAGCAATCAACTCAAATCAATGCTGTCTACCAATTAAGGCATTATAAATATGTGAAATCAAACATGTAGCCACACATCATGACTGTTGTGCTTTGTGCTTAACATGTTAAATATGCATTCGTTAGTCATTAATGGGTTAACGGGACAGTATTCTAAGGCTCTGTGGATTACTATTTTTCATCTACATCTTCTATGAATGCAAAACTATAAATCATCGTTAGTTCTACAACCATCAACGCCCACAAACTCTTACATCACACACAGTTCACGGAAATATTACATCCACATCTGAAGTGCTTCCTATCAGCAAAGGGTTCTTTTCATTTATTGTAGAACGTAATGTGAGAGTCTATTAGTCTCTCTACTGAAGTTTTCAGCTGCCTCGCTGCAGGGAGGACAGAGGGCAGGGTCAGCCACAGATCAGGACCCCTGCTTCAGGGAGGAATTTAGTGTCTTGCTCAAGGACACCTCCTCCTGTTAAAGGGTGGTCTCTTAGCACCGGGCCACCCTGCCGACTCCATATAACTGCAAGATAGCACGTGTGTAGTGTCTGAGACACACAATGTACCGGCTCCTCCAAGTTACAAAATACATCTTACTTGGATGTTGATTGATTTGAAAAATTCCATCTGATATATCGTTAAAATGGATTAATAATTTCCACTCCATTAGTAAGCTATGGTAATTGATGAATGGCAGCATCACAAGAGATGAGAAGTTTCATTCACTTTCATTAAAATCTCATTACATGTCTCTCTGTGAAATAATTCAGTCTTGGCATACATTCCCCATCTGTGTGTTGATCTGAGTTGCAAGGAGTTTTTCGGTGATAACTGCCTGCTTGGTCATAGTTCTTCCAAGGTAGAGGGGTTACTTCTGTTTGGCTTCAATATCCACTCTCTCCTACCTCTGTTTTAGGTCTCCACCCACTACTGAGGGACATTTCTGACTCTTTAGCTGCTAAATGCTCTACTGTGTTCACCAGCTGGTCACTAACTGTGTCTGTCTGCTGTTTGGTGCTGAGCAGGTAGTGTACAGTGGATTTACAGTTGAAAACAGCTGCCTGCTGTGGCTGAAAATGATTGAGAGCAGTGAGAGTGAACCAAAACAGTAGAATCGTAGGTCTGACAGCTAAACAATGAGCTGAAAGTAAGTAAAAAACTCCAGAGGGGAGCCTCAGATTCAGGTAGTAATTCTCTGTAGGTCCATCTCTGCAAGAGACCCCTTTCACATTGTCAGTGTTATTATAAAAGCCTTGATTATAGCAGCTTTAAATAAGGACAGCTGATTTTTTCAAGACTCTTGGGTGAAATGTGCATGTCTGCTCTGTGGAATACAGAGAAATCAGATTACTTACACAAGAAAGTGTCTCCCGTTGCTCTGCTGCTAGAGCCTTTTTCACACTGATATGACTGGACATTTGTTGAAATTCAGACACAGTCCCCTGAGTATTCCCTGATGGGCAATTTGTGGGCAGTCAAGTTGATAGACAAGGGTGCAACATGCTAGATCACTAATGAGTAACCCTGCTGCAGGCATACACACTCAAACAAACACTCATACATACAAGCTCTGTCTCTCTCTTTCTCACACACACACACACGCACACACACACACACACACACGTTTCCTGCTTTTATATCACTATTCCAGCCTTGATGGAATGGCGCATTAAGTCCTTGATGCACAGAACTCAGCGGCTCTGTATCCCAGCACTCCCCTCCCCTCCCACTCTCTCATATGCCTCTAGGCGCTGCTTTATTTCCCCCTAGGAGTGCTGCAACTCCCTGCCAACTCTTCCCAATCCATCAGTGAGTGTTCTGCCCTCCCTCCCCAGGGCTCCTGGGGAGGGGGGGCAGAACACCTATACCGTCTGACTGACCCGGGTCTTCCTACCACCAAGGAGCTACCTCGGCTTCATTCTTCACATTATGTTGAGTTTGGTGCGAGAGTGAGACATCGGCATGGATCATACCACACTGACAGAAGACTAATCTGACATATTGACCAGTGGAGGCTGCTGGTTGCTGGTTGGAGGTCTCAGTAAATTTAGGACATTTGGCTTATTTTGCATGAGTAAAATGACTAATTTATTATTATTATTATTATTATTATTGTTATTATAATGAGATCAGGAAATATGTTTACATTTAAATGTACTTTGTATATAGACCGTTATAATCTTATTATATCTCTTAGGCTCTTATTTTATGTTTATTTTTACTTTTTACTATATGTATATACCTATACATTCATTTCTACTCTATACATTCTGTTAGATATTGTATATAAGTACTATTTCTTCAACTTTGTGTCAATACAGTATTTTTTGAGAGCACAAATAACCTCTTAATGGTGTGTTGTTTTTAACCCAACCTTACTGAGCCATCTTTAGGATTCTGCTGAAGTATATCAGCCCCCAAAATCCCCAGGTGGCACTGCGGTTTGGCAAGGTTTTCTTTTTAATGAAATTAAGTGTCAGAGGGCTCAACGAACAGAGTGATGTAACAAACTCACCACACAGGTCTGATCGCAAGTTTGCACTACAAAGACTTTCTATTGTGTGGCCAAAGATATGAATATTTTAGTATTTTATTTATCCATTGAGTTCATTTCTTAGAATTAAGTGAATCCAGGGTGACACTGCTAATACTGCTTACTTTAATCCAAATTCAACATTAGAGACTGAGATTTTATGCAATGTGATATACTGTATTATATTTACATCTTGAACTTGGGGACTATTTTACGTTGCTAAGATCTAAACTACTTCTAGAATAGGAGAACGCTCAGCACCACGGACAGCTCCCACCTCCCTCTCTCCCTCCCTCTCTCTCTCTCTCTCTCTCTCTCTCTCTCTCCTCTCTCTCTCTCTAACTGTCTCTTCCGGGCGCACACTCGGCAGCTGGCTGCGATACAGCTCCTCCCTCCTGTGTGGTGGCTTTCCCGACCAAAGATCCTTGGACGTGAACAGTTTCGCTGAAGAGCACTTTTCTCCCCCCCACCCCAAAACAACCAGACGGACAATCGAGGCGTCAGTTATTCCATATCGACCTGAGAGAAGGGAGTTTAGGTGTCGGGTAAGGTCTCCAACGGTCCTTCATCCCCCCCCTCCCCAAATCTCTGTCAGCGATGGAGACTTGGGCTGGCTTCTGCCCAGGCTTGCACTTATCTCTGGGTATCTGGCTGATGGTAGCCGCTCATACCCCACAACACACCAAGGCGGAGATAACTTGCGCATCTTGCCCGTCGCCACTTCAACTTCACCTGGAGGAATTACAGCTGGGGATGCGCACTGAACCGACAGAGGAACCGGGCACCCTAAAAAACATCCGAGTAGAGTTTAGGGAACTCGGGGTTACCGACCAAAATTCTGGAGTGGACGACGACCGTGAGACAAGCATTCCTGTCGAGGATGTCCCCCAGTTCCCTCAAGATGTCAGTTTGGATGGAGTTAGCACAAAGGAAGATGCACCATGGTTCAGTGAAGAAAGTGTCCGCCGCGGCGGTGAGGCAGGGGGACCGGAGAAGGGAGAGGATGCTGCGCTCCGGAGAGCGAGGAGAAGCGGTCCTGAGTTTGCCGAGTTCAGCGAGAGCGGGTGGGCCGGCCGGACTGGCATGGATGGCGCTCCGGAGGATCGGGGCTCGTTGTTAGACGGACACAGGCAGGGAAGGTCCGAGTTCAGATGGAACAGGGACGAAGGGAGAGGGAATAACCGGCAGGATGAACCCAAGCTCACCAGCAGCACTTTCGCTCTGACTGGGGACTCTGCGCATAACCACGCGGTGGTATACTGGTCAGGACAAAACAGCAGCGTGAGTTATCATGAATTATTATTATTGTTGTTGTTGTTGTTGTTGTTCCTCTGCTGCTTTTTCACGGCTCCACATTTCATACGGACTCTTCTCTGAGAGTAGGATATTCTGTGCAGCTGGGTGAAAAAACTCGGTGACGCACAGAGCAGAGACTCGGTGCTCTGTCGTGCCGCTGAGTTGAGCTTCACTGTTAACAGGTGCACTGGAAGCTACAGATGCGCACCGACGCACACTGTTCCCTAAATGCCAGACTTGTGCAGCGACTGTGAATTGTATCCGGCCGCGACCTTTGACTCTCCCAGCAATTACGCACGCAAACTCCCGTCTGCTGGAGCGTTTCTTGCGCTGGTTTGCGACATTATTCCAACATCTAGACTTGTCTCTGTCTGTGCACGCTCTGTAAATCGTGCATTTTGAGTTTCAAATTTAATTTGTCGGGATTTAGCCTTAGTGGTGGAAAAAATATTTATGATGTATTTGCAGCGGATTTCAGATATGCTAATGCATGATTTATTGCTCCCAAATGATGCGAGATTTTTCATCCAAACTAATTGATTGGGGAAGAAGGGAGTCGTAAATTATTGCTCAATCTCCAATACGCCCTCTAATTCTTTGGATTATGAATTTCTCCTCTGTATGGATGACTGCATATGCTTCCCCTAATTATGGGTTTGCTGATCTGAATACCTGCGAAAGAGGGAATTCTTTTTTGGCTTTATTGACTGTTTAGAACATTTTTTGAATATATAAGCAGAAATGTGCGATACAGTATATGCACTGCAAATAAAAAGGTGTCAGCCCTGGATGCATTACCACAGACTTTCCAAAGGGGGGTGTTCAGTATTTGGAGGTTAGGTCTTATCCCCTCTACAATAATCCTAAAAAGGAGATTTTTGCCTCCTTGTTGCCTCAATGGTATCATGGATTCAGGGATTAAATGCTGCAGGATCATGACAGCACTGACATAAAATTTAGGCAAAATATCAGTTTCTGAGAACATTTGTTTGCCCAATTTCTGAAACACATGCATCCGAAAATACTTAGAGAAGGCTCAATTTAAGATTTAAAAATTTAAGACATATCATCAAAATAAGAACCTCAACAATAAAGGATTCTGTTGCTCTCTGGGTGCGGAAGGACAATATGAAGTTTTGAGTGTCAGCTCAAACACAGGGGCAACCTGCTGCCATAACATGTGTAAACCTTTACAGCAGCAGTAAATAGTTCTCACAGTGCCACTAACTCGTCTCTAAAATGACTCCAATCACATTCAAGCCCATTCTGCATACGAACTGGATGAAAATCCTGCCCCTCTTACACAAGAGGACCCTCATAGGAAGAGAATAATGAGACAAAATGAATCAAAGTCATTTACACAACCATGTAAGCTCACAGAGAGCCGATGGGCTCTTCTTTGTGGTTTCACAAGCTTAATTTGTTGTTGTGGCTGCTCTTCTCGCTTTATTCCATTTGAAAAAAATCCCACATATTCAGTCTTGTCTGAGCTGATTATGACATGGTGCATGAACTTGTTTTTTAACCCGCAGTGAAGACTGAGGCGCTGTGAGGGGAACATGTTTGTGTGTGCATGCATGTCCGTGTGTGTTTGTGTGACTGTGCGCTGGATGGAGAGGGTGAGGAGGTTACTGAATGCCACTGCCCCTCAGCTCGAAATCTTTGATAATTATCTTGAATACTGAGGCCTCTATTTCAAAGTCTTTTCTTCTTTTGAAAGAAGGGAAGTCAGGGCCAGGCCTCGAGAGCATCCTCAAGCGAGGAAATCTGCTACTTAATCTTCATTGGCCGTTGGTGCTTATTCTGGTGATGAATGGAGTGGTAGGACAAAGAGATTGAACTTGAAGGCTTCTAACTTATCTGCAGCAGTAGTTAAGTTAGAGTAAGAGTGAGTGGCTGGCTAATAGGATGACTAGCTGGTTGGATGAATGACCAGCTTGGTACAGCCACCTTTATCTTGGCTGTAGATTTACTGCCCATTTTACGCTTTTTGGGCTCCTTCATTTTTCACCTGACTGCACTTCAGAAACTGTACTCACCAGGAAAATTACAATATTGTTATTTGGTTGTACATCCTGTGGTCTTGTGGTAATCAGCGGTAGATACGTCTGCCTTCTCTGAACCAGATAGCACTCAGCTTGTTCAAAGCGCAAACGCAACACCAACAACTCTTTCCAGCAATGAAATTACCAAGTTACTCAATATTATCCACAGACCTTTTTGTTTGCGAGCAGTTTCATGTAGGAACTATTTTCTTTCTACCGAACTACGTCCGCCAACTGTAGCTGAATGTTAGCTGTCTCAGTGGTGCTATGTGAGCTGGCTAACATTACAGCTCAGCCAAGGAGGACGCCGATAATGTTTACATTCTGTGCTGACACGAGCACAAGCTTCTTGTCCAGGAGTGGATGCACACCTCCTTCTGTGTGTTGATACGTAGAAAGAAAATAGTTCCTACATGAAACTGCTCACAACAAGGTCTGTGGATTATCTTGAGTAACCTGGTCATGATGTCAGGAAAGAGACATTGCCGTTGAGTTTTTTTAAAGCTATTTTTTGAGTGCCATCTAATTCCATTATATTGGAGAGAAGGCACACATCTCTATAGCCGATATCTCCAAAACTATATTAACTGTATTTTGATATACAAAAATATAAAAATATCCCTGGTTTTATTGGATACATTTACTTCATGGTATACCTCTATCTTTCTCCCAACATTCCCTGTCTGTTTGAACACTGTCAGCTTTCAAATATAGACAAATATATATATATATATATATATATATATATATATACAACTCAATAAAAACTATCAGTAGCTTTTCCTAATAATGACCTCTTTAACCTTGACCACAATTTTTCCGGAACCTTAGCCATGTAGTTTGTCATTGACAACGGCCAAGTGTTTTTTTGTCACCTAATGACTAATGACCAAAGAGGTGCCGGATCAGAAAATGCTGACATGGGTTGGTTTTGGGAGACAATGACAAACAACCATCGTTTAGGTTGGAGAACTTGTTGGTACTACCACATTTCATTTTTGGTAGACAATTAGCCATCTTGACTGACTTATTGGAGAGTGGCAGTCATGTGCCCTCTTCCACTGACCTTTAATCAAGATATCAAACTCCTACCTGATCAACCATTTGATTTTTCTCGATTAAATGCCTAAAATATAAATGTAAATGAATCCCAGCTGGCTGACTGGTTTGTTTGACTGCCCCTGGCATTGACCATAAATTCACAACCTTCTTGGTCTAGAGATTTTCACCCAGTCTTATTTCAGCCAGGTTGGTCGGCCGTGTCTTGTACTACGACTACCTCTGGGAGACTTGACGCGGCTGTTGCTTCCCTGGGGGAGAATGGTGTGTCCTTTGAGGCATGTACACAAGGCTAATGCACTCTCACTGTCTCTCTGTACCTGTCCAAATTGCTGTCTCGGCCCCCGCTACCCTACCTTTTTCTCTCTGTCTGTTGCTGTATGCGTCTTCAGGTCTGTGCCTCCAGCTTACACAGGTTATTCAGAAGCCTTAACCTTAGATATTCACTGAGAATTTAGAAGCAGCAATGTTGATACTAACTGTCATTTATTATATTCATGGGCATAATTTCAATGAAGCATCCCTACACCAAAGTGGCAAGTTCTTTCCTGAAGTATCTTTGAGGCTGTGTAATGCTCCCACCCTCAGCAGACATGAGCATAATGGTATTGTGACTGACAGCTTGAATACAAAATGGATTGCTTTAGCAGTGCCTCTTTTAGTGTGATCTTAAAACATTCATCTCGTCTAAGGGAACCTTGAGATTTCCTCCCAACAGAATAATCACAATGAATACATTCCCTCAGGAAAACTGTGACCATAAATATCAGCATATCTATTTGACAGCTCAGGACAGGGCGTCAGCTTTTCGGCTGATCAACACTATATTTTCACTCCTAGATGCTTGTTTCATGTACCGTGGCTTTGATGTCCCTTCATCCGGGGGGTAGGGAGGGTTGGGCATCTATAAGTGTTGTTAGCTTTGAGAAAAATTAACATAAGATGGTGCGAGTAAGCTCGACTCCAGTGGTCTTCAAAGTCATGGGAACTCACACAGAGACAGGTCAGTTATATCTGGCAAGTCATCAATAGAGCTGTGTGTTTGAAATTTCCGAATCCCTCTTGAGAAGCGAAGGAACACATGCAGACTCCCATGAGTGGCATTTGAAGGCAAAAATGTCATGCAGCAAAAACACAGCCATGCTCCAGGCATGTAGAAGAGATTTAAAGGCAAAGACCAGACCAATACAATACTCACATTTTTGGATTCTTCCAAAACTGGAGTCAATAATTGATTCCCTGTTTTGAAAGAATCCGACATCCTGCAAAAAATTTGTTGTGGAATACTTTATCAACCTGGCAGGCTGCTATTTGCATGTTATGGTCATTATATGCACCATCCATCGTGCAGAAAGAGCCCAGAGACCCACCTACAAGGACAGGGCCGTGTGCAGCATTTCCAACCATGGTCTCTGCAGCGAGGGGATATGATTTAGGATGTAGAGGCAGGTCTTGTTCCCGCTCACTTTCCATCAACCCATCTCACCCCTCAGCCTAAATTACTGATGGTAATACATTATAAAGTTGTTTCTTTTCTTCCCTCTCCTGCTACTCTGGTGGGCCTCTGCTCTGGAGTTAGAAAGAGGGGAGAAAAATGAGAATATCATAAATAATATAGCCCTTCCAGCGGGGTCCTTATCTCCCTTATGCCTCGATCTCTCCTCCCCCCTCCTCCTCTTCTAATTAGTGTCTACAAATTTGTTTCCTCGTCCCTTGTTTTTTTGCATTGCAAGTATGATGTTGTGGCAAGAAGCCATGTGCCACAAAACATGAATGGAGAATCTGTCTTGACTGGCCTCCAGAGCTAAACTGTTGGCTGCAGTTTCCGAACAGTGGGGGTTAGGCTGAGGCTCACTCTTGACCTCTTGATTCCATGCACTG